CCCCCCCCCGAAAGTGGCCACAGCTTTACTAGGAGTTACTCTATATGTGGAAGCGAAGAAACCTTCTCTCGAGCGGAGCTGCAGTTTTGCCGAATAAATCACGTGTGAGTTAGGGGCGGGCTCTTGGCAAGGAGGTTTTTTACGAGTATTTACTACAAGGTCTACTCCAGAAGATTAACCATCCCAATCCTTCTGTCAGTCTCCGATGCCATGCCTGGTTAAAAAAAAAAAAAAATCAAACCAAAAAAAAAAAAACAAAACTCATCTTTTTTCCGATCGTCAGTCACCCTAAAGAATGGCCGAGCCTTCTGGGAACGAGCTGGCGTCCGCGGCTGCCAAGGGGGACCTAGTGCAACTTACTAATTTGTTGCAAAAGAATGTAAACGTCAATGCACAAAATGGATTTGGGAGGACTGCGCTGCAGGTTGGTATCCAGAGAGGGAAGGAAATGTTTCATCACTGGTTACCTACGTGACCCGGGGTTTACAAAAAAAAAAAAAAAAAGACAACGTTTGAAACAGGCTGGTGGATGAAATTCGAGTGGTTTTTCAAACTCGTTGGAAGCCATATTTTATAACTTTGGTGGCTCCAACTCCCTAAAATGACGTACTTGAAATAAAACTGGTCAAAACCATGATTTCAGTCGGGGCTCACCCTCAATGTCAAACGGGCTGCGAGTTTGCTGCTATTTTGTAACTTCGTGGGGAGGAGGCAAGGAACGAAAGAGCAGAGATGAAAAGAAATCAGCTTAGGTGAGCAGGATTTCGTAGCAGGTCTGTAAACACAAATGTGCTGTTCGCTGAAGCTTAGGATTTATCTATCTTTTTTTTTTGTTCCTTCCTCTTCTGTTTCTTCTTGTTTTTTCGTTTAGGCTGCTGCTGCTTTCTCCTTTCCGCGCTGTGGGTGAGGACCGACCCCTCCGGAGCGGGCAGCGGGCTGCTCGGACCCTCGGGGTACGCGAGGGGCTCGCCCTGCCGGGCAGGGCTCCGGCTGGACCACTCGCTTTTTCATTCAGAATTAAGGCTTCGATTTTTGCTTTTTTTAGCTCGGCGAGCAGGGCACCGGCTCCAGCTATTTCCTTGCTGATCGTATAGGGTGCTGTGTCCGAATTTTTAAGTGTGTGGCTGCGCAGGCAGGGGTTGGAACTCTTCCAGCTGCTGACTGTGGGAGCTGGGGAAAGATTTTGCTTTTAATAATATCAGAGAATGATGGCGAAAAGGGTAGAATACCTACCAGACAGCGAAAGAAGTGATTTATAAATCTGGAGGGAAAAGATGTGTTGTTATTTGTACTTAAGGTGTAAGTAATGAAACGTGGAAGTGCAACTATAGATCTTTTTAATTTCACACATTAGAAAAATCGTTTGTTAACTCTTGTCCCCCCCTCCCCCGAAAGCAAGATAACAATTTCTGAAATTGGGTTTTTTAAACAGCATAGAGCTTGCGAATGTGCTCGAGATATTTACGGCTCTTGTTTTTTTTTGGCTTAACATCAAAATGTTAGGGCTCG